CAGAAAAAACGCTTAATAGGAAAATAAAACAAATTCCCTGGAATACGGAAGCGTTTGAATTAATTCATTTGTGTAATAGTTTTTTCGAACACTTGGTGTATAATAACAGAAAAACTCCCGACGAGTTTTGAACAAGGAATCATGAACAGAAAGATTGCATCTTCAAAGCACTGCATTCCGATTGAAAATCCATTCATTTTCTAAAAAGATATGGCGGATTGAAAATTTGTCAAATATTTCAGTGGTCCACTTGTTTCTTTGAGCACTTTATTTGCACCATCAGTGAATCCATATGTTTTGAGTAATTGCAATTAATGGGTTAGAAATTCTCATGGAGTTTTTATCACCTGTTTTTTGCGCTTCATTCAAAACACTCAAGAATAAACTACCCTCTGGACTAGAGGTATGTGGGTGATGAGGATGGTAGTAACTACTTTATACAGTGTCATCAATAAAGTCCGTAACATATGGGGAAACTGTTTTATTAGAGTATCGAACATTTGTTTTATCAAGGACGCATGTCCGATAAACTAAAAATCGTCTTTGACACATACAAGGTCATCTCTGTTATGGCGGTAAATTAAAAAAATGACCATGAAGTGGCAAAACGTGGGGTTAGATAGATTTATTTGTTTATCTGATGGCATGTCATAATGACAACGTTATGTCACTCAATTTTGATGACATAAGGAAACTCATTATGGTACTAAGTACCATAATGAAATTCTATAAGGAAAACATGTAATGGTTTGATCAAAAAAGTTTATTCAAAATGCATAACTATGTACAAAACTATTTATTATAAATGGTAAAAGAACAATTACTACAATTTGTAATATTAATATAATGGCAAAGCACAGCTCACTCACCTACTAATATTTGAAACTACACAATACTTACTCCTTTAAAAATAGTTGTCATTGTGACATGTCGAAAATGCAGTTTTTAATTTTTCGAAAATGTATTGATATAAATGCCATCAGATAAAATTTTGTATGTAATACGAATCATAAACAATCATTATGGCACACGCCGTGTTATCGAACTCGGCTACGCCTCGCCCGATAACATTCACGACTTGTACCATAATGATCGTCTTTATGATCCTTATTACATAAATAACTATTATTTTACACGGAAGGTTTACAGCACGTCGAATTTTTGCACAAAAGACCAATTAGGCTAATAAAATTAAATCGAAAAAAACCGTTTTGAGGAATTAATTTCCAGCAAACTGGAAATCGTTTTAATACCTCTATTTGGTCCTGAATGCGTGTAATCTGAGTTTGCACCATGTCAGGTGGTGAGCTTAACTTTTGATAGCCAAAAAACCGCCACATTTTTGCACTTTTTTTATTTTTTTGCTTATAGCTGCAAAACGGTGCGTCGGACGGAAAATTTTATTCCATTCAATAATACAGAGGACAAAATTCTGCGTCGAATGACATCTGAAAACATCAAATTCCGTTCAGAGGTATAGCCGAAATCGAATGTTAAAAAAAAGAAAATTTCGTAGTTCGGTGCAACTCGTGCGCGAAATACTTTGGTGATTTCGACTATTTTTTAACTTGGCTGCGCCTCGTTAAAAAAATCAGCTCTCGATCACCAAAGTAGCATTTCGCGCACTAGATGAAAAATAATTATAAATTGATGCAAAATTTGGGACCGAAGCTGAACCGGGCATTCAGATATCCGGATAATTGGACAAATCAAGAAAACTTAAACATTTGGACATCTATCTATATAACGTAAAATTTTATCCTCTACAACTTTTATTTTATGGGTTTTTTCAATAGGAGTATCTGTTTTCACGATATGTCGTCTTGGAAAGCCGCAAAATGTAAGCTTGCACCGAACTACGAAATTTTCTTCTTTTTTAACATTCGATTTCGGCTATACTACTAAACGGAATTTGATGTTTTCAGATGTCATTCGACGCAGAATTTTGCCTTCTATATTATTGAATAGAATGACATTTTTCGACCGATGAACCATTTTGCAGCAATAAGCAAAAAAATAAAAAAAGTGCAAAAATTTGGCGGTTTTTTGGCTATCAAAAGTTAAGCTCAACTCCTGGAATGGTGCAAACTTAGATTACACGCATTTGGGACCGAATGAAGGTAATTAAATGATTTCCAGCTTGCTGGAAATTAATTCCTCAAAATATAATTATTTGATTGGCCTAAATATCGTCTTATTGTATACAAACAATTATTAATATTAACTCAAAATACATGTAAATTCAAATTTAAAACAAATTATTATCCAATAAACGAAAGGTATATGAACGATATTTTCTTCGAAACGAACAATCTCATTTCCAAAAACAACAGACTGAAGATGAAGAGAGATTGACAACAATCATCAGGAATTTAAAAATTCTGACGCACTATATAAACAGTTTCCTATGAGAATTTTTTTTATTTCTGTTTGGAGTGCTCTATCATTCAAGGAGCGCAACTCTGAACTTAACTTATTGTGAAGCTTCAAATTAATGGAATTTGATCCCGCTTTTGTTAACCTGTAACGGGGAAGGCTTTTGGTTAGTTGATCTCGTTTCATATTCATGAATATCTGAGGAAAGTGTATAATCCCTCCTGTTTGAGTGAATTTCAAAGATAGTTTGATAAATATATATACAATGTAGTGTAATTTCTTTTCATTTCATATAACGGTGTGTTGTGTGGAGCCCACACCAGCAAGAAGACGAATGTATTTTTTTTAGATTTGAAAATACTTATGGCATTGCTTGAAAATGGTGCCGGAGAGTCCACTGTTCAGTTTTTGTGTATGATATTGCCAGTTCAGAGAGTCATCAATCGCAATCCCAAGAAGTTTGCAGAGAAACCAGATTTGCTATAAATAATCATCTTTTGCGTTTTTTTCCCATTGATTCTTAAGAAATTGGCAGAGACCAATTTCCAGCAACGTCAATCGAATTTTAAGCTAAAATCGGGAGGCCAATAAAATCAAACCAAGTTGATTTTTTGATAAAAAAGTTATTTGATTCAAAATAGAATATGAGTGTACCTTTCAGTAAAATTTATAAAATCTTAGAGTATGTATTGATTATTGAGATTGGACGATAATTGTTTAGAATCTCGGGGTCATCTTTTTTGAATATGGGTAAGACTCTGGAGAGCTTAAACTGATCGAAAAAAAAGGCCATCAACAAAACACTTATTTATGATCTATTAGGAAGTATGATGTCTCTTCAATGAGCAACTCATTTACGTCGAAAAGATGTTCAGAACCAGAATTTTTCAATCTCTTCGTGGCTGTTTGTACTTCTGATGCGGTAGTTGAGGCTGAGGGGTTTGGTGAAGTTTTGATAATATTTTCAGCAATTGTACTGAAAAATATGTTGAAGTCGTCAGGACTAAACCCTGTTATTTCGTTTTTATTCGATTTCCTATTGTATTCAAAACTGACGATACGCCAGCTATCTTTGGACATATTAGTAGAATTTGATAGGAAATCATCATATGCTGATTTCTTCGTTGATGTTATAGGTTTTCTGTAATCTGTTTCAAATTTTTTGTATACTAACCAATTTTCGGATTCATTCGTGTTGCTTGCTAGGATTCCAGTGTCGTTATAAATTAAAAAGTCTCGGGTGATTTCTTTTTTGTTAACTCACACAACAAATTTTCGAGGTAGTTGAGGTAAAGTTGGAAATTCTTCGTTGAAAGCTGATGTTATGTAAATCGGCCGTTGATATTTGATTTCAAGAAGAAACAAACGCCACCATGATGGTTTATACTTCGACAGTAATAGCTTGCCAAATAATATCATTGAATATTGATTGATGCTTTTTAAATTAAGTTCGGTTTGCCAATGTTCAGAGACACATAAAACACTGATATTTTTATCAATCAAGAAAAAATTGAGTTAGGTGGCAATGTATCGAAAAAAGTTATTCGAAAAAGTAGCTTAGAATTCAATTTCACATTCAAACCGGTTGAGAGAAATTCGAGTAGATGCATGGGGATCTCGAAAATAGAAAGATATACAGAAAGGGTTAATTAGAGGCAAAGTTGCGCAATTTTATGCCCAACAAAATGCCGTTTTGATATGAGAAAAAATCCGAATACTTCCGAAGATTGGAAAAAACTGAATATTTGCGATTCCACTTTCTTTTTTTTTACTCTATTCGAATAGATGTAACAAAAAAAATTACACATTCTCATGGCTACTTTTTTTGTTCTACATGACGGTGTTATCAGATTTTTAAACTGAAGTTCCGTCTTTGAGCTGCCACCATCAACTTTCATTTTTTGAATACGGTCCTGGATTTTTTATTATGGATTTTGATAGCTGTTGATCTGCATAAATCAACGGTGGAATGCTTTTATTCAAAAAATTTATATTAATGGCATTTTCCATAAGAACCCATGTGTTAGAGAGAACACGAATAGATTTTTGAAAGGATTAAAAACCTTAACCTTGAACACCTTTTTCAAATAAGTGCGATACACCGTTGATTTTAGGACATCAAGAAACCTTACATACCACGATCAAAAATCCAGGGCTGTATTAAAAAAAAACAACGTTGATGATGGCAGCTCAAAGATGAAACGTCGGTTTGAAAATCTAATAACACCATCTTGTAGAACAGTAGCAATGAGAATGTGTAATTTGTATTGTTACATCTATTCAAATAGTCATGAAAAAAGTGAATTCGCGAATATTCGGTATTTTCCAAAAATCTTTGTAAGTATTTGGAATTTTTCAAATTTCAAAACGTCATTTTGTCAGTCCTAAAATTGCACTACTTTGCCTCCATTGGTTGGTTCCATTTAGTTTTCTCTGGATGCAATGCTGAAATTTGAAATTTTTGGCCTCCACAGTGGTTTTGTAAAAAAATTAACACGAAGAATATACTAATTAACTTTCTTGTGACCTTCAATTCGACGAATCGTGATGCTATACACTTTTTTCATTCAATCACCTACCTTTACCTTACATATAACATTTTTCAGTTGAAATTCGGTTTTCAGGTTTGTGTCGGGCTGCTGTATTGAACCACCTAACCGCTAAAGCCATGACTAGGGCTAGATATTTCTGTGCTGCCACTACTGAATCAGAATGTTTCAATCACTATGCATTGAGCGTTCCAATTTATACCCATTACACTTCTCCAATTAGACGCTATGCTGATATTATGGTCCACCGACTATTAGCTGCGAGTTTGAGTAAGTAAAAGCGGGGCTTGAAGTGAGGACATTTTTAAGTAAAAAGGTTACAAATTCACAACAAGGTTATCAATAGTTACTTTCTTGTATTGAATATATTACTGATAAAATGAGATTCTTGATCTGTCGAATTATTGCACACTAGACAGATCAGCATCTTGACTTCTTTTTCAAAGAGATTCGAGATTTCAACGACCAGGAGATTGATATCAATATTCAAAACTTTCCATCTGTTCTCATCTTGTCAACTTGAAAACATATCCATTGACATGGCATTCTTCAATTTTAGCAATGGGCATTTCCAGTACTTTCCAGAAAAATTATGTGTGGTAATAAATGACTCTCAAGTACCTCATTTCCAGTGGTTTCCAGAAACATCATACCTGGTAATTAAGGACTCCCGAGTACCTTATAATTTTTTTTTTTTATTTTTATTCATGCTGAATCTTAGGTAGAAATATTATTGAATGTTCAACGTCAACGAATTCAAATGAGCATTAAAGGTAGGGAACCGCCTGACGTCAACGCACGAACGATTTCGATTGGTTTGCGACCTTAACTTACTAAAGATATTCATCACATTTGCGTACGGCAGCTCTTCGTCGGTATGCACTAGGTGTGGGTGTTTAGATTTTTCAGCTCAAACAATGATACATAATATTATTCAAATTACTCAATGAAACTTGAGAAGGGGCACCACAGCAACTTTTTATCAGAGAAAGAATTCTTTATTACTTGGGTAGTTGTGGAACCAAATAATACTCTACAAGGTGTTGACTAGCTAAAATAGACGAAAAATGGTATTGAAAGTAATGACGAGGGCAAACCAAAATATTGCGATAGAAGTCAGGTACTTCAATAAATGATAATCTCTAGCAAATTCATTGATATGAAAGGGAGATCCGCCGCCGCGATGGTTGTGGTTACAAATGTTACGATGTATCATGAATATTAAAAAATCAAGGGAATGAAATATTGAAGTTATGAAAATATAAAAAATAAAGAACTCTGGCCAGCTTATGATCCTTATGCTGTAACCATTACAACACCATGGGGAAATGAAGGGCGTAGGCCTCTCCTAATCAAGCCTCCTCAACCTTATGGTGGGTAGCTTGGAGATAGTGGAGAACCTATGGATGTATGTACTCCCTGTAGACAGCTTGGCTGCACTGGTGGCAGGAACCGTAGTTTAAAGGTGGATGTCCCTCTTCTCTCAGTGACCAGGATACCAATATCTTGGGAATCGCGTCCCAAGGCTAACCAAAATATCGTTAAGAAGACAGCCTAGGATTGGTTGCTTGAACTGACCATAAAACTAGCACCTACCTTACCAAAGACTTGTGCTTGCAATATATTATATAACTGGTGATCGTAACCTACAAGTTACTGTTATACCCTAAAAGTCTTGGTCGTCACCTAAGACCCTAAAACGAATAACCTGAGTGAATATCCATCCAAACTCGTCGCGTGCCGACTTTTGTAGGTCAAAACAAGAAAAGACACCTGCCAAACGTCTTTTGAAATTATAAGGTACTTACCTATTTGATCTTCATATCACACTGTGGCCTACGGATTTCATATTGGTGATCTAAAACATTGACATAAAACAATAATTAATCTATGTCTCAGAATCTTTCCAACATTCTGACTTGGCTGATACCTATTGGAACAAATTACCTTGAATTGCTGATGAATGTAAAAAACGACCAACATATTATTCAAAATAGAGAACTCCATGTTCCAATCAAATTTCTGAAACTGAGATAGCTCAATTCTCAAGGCACTAGCATAACTCGCTGGTCAAGGATCAATAACACAACAAAACATAACAACGTTGACGCTATTTTATTTCTAACTTTAGACGACACTGACGAGATTGAAGAGACCCCTTCGAGCGAGTCCAGCTCGATTATTTATCGTTCGTGTTCGTGTTCGTTCGTCAAAACTCGAGAAATACTGTATCAGTCTGGGTCAAAATTAGGCAATTTATTAGGCAATCCGAAAGATAAAGTGGACACACTTGAAAAGTCGGGAATATACGAAATAAGTTGTAATGATTGTGATAAAACATACATAGGCCAAACCAGGCGACCCATAAAAACAAGGTTCAAAGAACACATAGCCCATTTGAAATATGGCAGGTTAGATAAATCTTGTGTAGCAGAACATATGTTCAATCACAATCATAACACACATATTACTAACCTCAAATTAGTTGGGCAAGTTAATAATACTAGAAAATTAGACGCATATGAAAGCTTAGAGATATTTAAGAATAGCAATAGAGTAATGAATAAGGATAATGGGCCTATTCCATATAGCCCTCTTCATAGTTTAGTAATATAAAAATTAAGATTAATATGTGAACTCAACCATGACAAACATTAAATCATTACTACCTACTTGTTCTGTGCATATGTATGCGGATGACGTTCAATTATATGGATATTGTGATCCATCTGAAGTTGACTATTTTATATGTGAATTGAATCATAATCTTCAACTGATAAGTGATTACTCTAAGACCCATGGACTAACTATAAATCCATCTAAAACAGTTGCTATGTGCCTTGGCACAAAAATTATGGTATCCAGAGCTAAATCGACACAAACCTGCAATATAATGTTGAACGATACTGTTGTCAATCTGAGCTGTGATGCAAAAAATCTAGGTATAGTCATTGATGAAACATTAACCTTCGAAAAACATGTCTTAGGAAAACTGAAAGTATGCTATTTCAAGTTCAAATCTTTATGGATATATAAATACATACTCCCGCATGAAACAAAATGGAATCTTGTAAATATACTCATTATCAGTCAGCTCGATTATGGTTCAAGTGTTTACTATAACTTTCTGAATGATTGTTTCAAGCGAAAGTTACAGATACTGCAGAATAATTGCTTGAGATACTCAAACAATAATATAAAACGACGTGATCACATAACTCCGTACTATGTGAGCATGAACATCTTGAAAATTGAACAAAGGTTTGCTCTTTTATATGGCTCACTCGTTTAGCACGTTCACAGAAATGAAATACCTAGTTATTTGTATGACTTATTGATCAAAAGGCCAGATATTGCTATCAATCTAAGGAATACTGATAATATGATAGTTCCAAGGCACAAAACATCCAAATTTCAGAAATGTTATTCATATTCACACACAAAGAATATTTCATGCTGGACTCGTTAAATAAATTTAAAACCGAGTATCGGAAGAATCTGAGCGCAGCTCTCACCTAGTAGGTATATTTATATTTATTGAGGACATATCACTAGTGCCGAGTGATCTATTCTCACTTAGATCACGTTGTTCATTATTTTTTATAGTTTATTTAATTTATTCAGTCAATTTTTTTCTGTATATTTTCCTGTATATTATGTAGTATGTATTGTATATATCGTTTTTCTTTATATTTATTCATCATGTTATGTTCTATTGTAATTATTCAGGCAGAATTGGAAAATGGCTTTGCCAATATTATGTCCTTTTGGAGTAGTAAGACCATGATATATTATTTCGCGATGAATTTGTTATACATATTGGGTATTACTTCAATAAACATTATTATTATTATTATATTATTATTATTATTATTATTATTAACTTGACGGTTAGTATTTTTCATTGGTTGGGTGAACATATACCTAGTATATAAGCAGCACACTAGAATAGGATATCTAGTTTTAATCTTCTCCTGAAGTTGCTAACATAGTTAGCGAAACACGTGTCGATGCGTTTAAAAAATTGGTTTGGTTAGTGGTAAAACAGTAGTGTATTATCGTGCCAAAGGTTCTAGTCTTCGATATGCGTCATAAGACTTTTTTTCGATCTCTCGCGAGCATTTGAGACTCTCAACCCATTAATCTTAGAATTAAGATTGGAAGCAGTTTGATTCGTGGACCAATAAAATCGTGGCTTATATCATATATCAGTGGCAGAACACTGAAAGTCAAAGTGGATAACGAGATCTCAGATCCATAAGATCTTATATTAGGCACCCCACAAAAGTCCTTCACTATTTCTTCTGTATGTAAATGACCTTCGTCAACATATACAAGATGGTAAAAACCTCATATTATTATGCAGATGATACAACAATAATGGTATCCGCAGATACAATAAAAGAGCTTGAACGAAAGATTGATTTAGTCATAAACAATTTCAATCAGTGATGCGTAAGTAACCACCTCATAAACAATATAAAAAAACAGACATACATCTGGGCCGTTTCCATAAATAACAGTATAAAAAGTCACCAATTTATGCTGGAGACCAATTATTCAATGCCCTTCCAGGAAAGATAATCGACGCCAAAGATGCTATAAAATTCAAAAATAATATGAAAAATATCTGAAAGAAAATTAAATTTTTTTAAAGCTGTGCTGTCCTTTTTAAATTGTCAAATTTTCCAATTTATAATTTATTTATATTTTTAAGCTGTTCTGTTCTGTTCTTGTTTGTGTAATTGATTAAAAAATGAACTTGCAACTATAGCTTCCTAAAATTGACTCATTCAATGTCATGTAGAAAGGATTTTTGAAGGATGAATAAAAATTAAAAGTAAGTAAGTAATCGTCCAAATTGCAGAGGTTTTATCAAAAATTCCAAAATTAGTAAATTAGATGAAGGATTCTAAAAGGCAGCAGCAGATAATTCGCCAATGGTGGGCAGAATAGTAGTGTCCAACTTTTTTTCAAACTATCCAAACTTCTTCAGTGCTGAAGTTCGCAATGTGAAAACACAAAGGTTAGTATTTACCTATAGATTTCAAACTCAATAGTTCATGGATAGGTTCCACATATATGCTTTCAGAAAATCTTTCATAAATAGTATTATGAATGAAGAGGCGCGAATGCGTAAGCATCGTTCCCGGAGTGGACTGGATGTAATCGAAATACTGAAAAAAGTTCTAACAGTGTTCAAGAAAAAGAAATTGTATTGCTGAATTTTGTTCACCTTGAAATAACGTGTGGAATAAGAAATTTGTCGATCTACTTCTCACTCACCCGTCTATATTTTCAATGTTGATATTCAGAATTATTCAGGAGGTGAAGAACATTCTTGATATCTCGTGAAATATCAGCGTCATGAGGTTATGGTAGGCAGCAAATTAGGACTCTACTGAATTTAACGTACAGGCCTCTCTAGTTTTTCGCAAATATCTCAGGAACCTCTACATTGAGGCATGCGGACTGTTATTACTTTCAGATTAGTTTCCAAGGAGTCTAACTGATGTCATACACCAATTTGACAATTCGTCTGTCTAGGAAAAAATATGAAGGAAAATGTGGCAACAGATGTTTAACACTGTTTAACGATATTCAAAAATTAAAACTCCATGTGATTACATCGATTAATCTGGAATTGTAAACCGAGTTCAATTGTTCCTCTACAGGGGTTCTGAAGAAATTAATATAAACCTTAATATTATTCGTACTCTTGACATCCTATATCTCAGAGAGGATGCATTTTAGGACATACGTTGATATTAACTTTTCGCCTCAAAATGACTAGGAATACATATCCGTGTCGGTCTTATTCTGACTCACCCTGTATATTTTTCTTATACAAGGAGTCCTAGAACAATGTACCATAAATTCTACAGGGTGGACTAGACACCAAAGTAGACTGATTGAAATCAACTTACCTCTATACAGGGTGTTATTTAAGTACGTGGCCAAACTTGAAGGGGTGATACTTTGAGTGATTCTAAGACGAAAAGTTCATATAAACATAGGTCCGGTAATGCTTCGTTTTCAAGATACAGGGTGTCAAAATTTTTAAAATAAATCGTTTTTTTCGTAAATATCTTAATAACCCTTCAACCGATTTTATTGAAATTTGGCAGTGTTATTCAAGGTCGTGAAGGGCTAATTTAACCCTAGCTATATCAAAATTATCATGTCCAGTGGCGTCCCGGAAGGCACTGTAACCAATATTTTTGACAGAAAAAATGTGCGGCACTGATTTTTTCGCAAAATTTGTATTTGTTTCACATTGAGCAACTAAAATTACAACTTTTTCATATCCAGAATTTTTTCCGTATCTTGCTTTGTTTTTGAGAAAAAACATAAAAATCACTTCATTGCACATCCCTGTGACAACACAATAAAACATTTCAACTACAAAACCATCAAAAACTGGGGTCTTACTAATATTTTTTTATAATCATACTCTATTCTATTCTTGGAATCTTCTATCAAAATTAATGCAATGAAAAAACAAAAAATATGTATGTATGAATTGCAGCACTTGCCTTCGGCTCTTGGCTTCGGCTCGTCACAGGGATGTGCAATGAAGTGATTTTTATGTTTTTTCTCAAAACAAAGCAAGATACGAAAAAAATTCTAGATATGAAAAAGTTGTAATTTTAGTTGCTCAATGTGAAACAAATACAAAAATTGCAAAAAAATCAGTGGAGCACATTTTTTCTGTCAAAAATATTGGTTACTGTGCCTTCCGGGACGCCACTGGACATGATAATGTTGATATAGTTAGGGTTAAATTAGCCCTTTACGACCTTGAATAACACTGCCAAATTACAATAAAATCGGTTGAAGGGTTATTAAGATATTTACGAAAAAAACGATTTATTTTAAAAATTTTGGCACCCTGTATCTTGAAAACGAAGCATTACCGGACCTATGTTTATATGAACTTTTCGTCTTATAATCACTCAAAGAATCACCCCTTCAAGTTTGGCCACGTACTTAAATAACACCCTGTATACGAAAATGCACCGTTGAACCGTGAGAGGGCGATGAATAATAATTTGATTCACAGATTTTCCTGAATATTTCGAAAACCTTGGAAGGTACTGCTCTTAAATTCGTTGGGCAATTCACTATCATGAATGTGCATGAAAACAGGGAGACAGATATTCAACATTCTCTTCGATGAAAATTTATTATGTTTTTTGGAGTACGCTACTGACCATGTTTCAAGATTTCAATGAACGACAAAATCAATTATCTAACTTTTTTCTAATTGCAGTTTTTTCTGATTCTTAGTTTTCCAGATATCAAAGAAAATTCGTTTTGGTGCTTCTCCATACTTGTAATGAACGCGGAGACAAAAATTATTTCGATAACCAATGCTAGACATATTGCACTTATAGGAAGTAAAAGGTCGTTTTTAATTGGGACAGTTAATGTGGAAGTTCATTCAATGAGTACAAGAAGAATAGATTGATAGGGCCATATTATTACTTGAATGAACTCTTGTTGGAAATCTTGATATTTGTTTCCAATCACAAGAAATGCATATAATTAGGTTTATTATGAGGTACTTCACCTTTGTAACATTATTGGCATTGACACTTGGGAACTGATCAGAACAGCGTAAGGACACGAAAAAAAGTTTGAGGAGAGTGTACAGGGAATATTATGTCAATAATAATAATTATATTGATAATAATAATGATAATAATAATGCTAATATCGGTATCGCCAGCGGCTCGTCAGAACTGTCGGGAAAGAACAAAGTCGCTGCTACTAACATGCTTGCTGTTCCGATCCGACTTTACTCATTTGGAGTGGTAAAGTAGATTCAAGTCGAGCTGCGATAACTTGACGTAAGTACTCGCAAGATGATGCATCTCCATTGGAAAATGAGAAGTTCCAATAAATTCGGCACCTCTCATTTTCCCCCGGAGTATAGGGCAGCACACGAGTGCCTCAAATGATAGTAAAGCACTCAAGAAGACAGTAGGTGCATGAGTGTCTCGGCGCCCTACGGCAGGCCCTGCAGATTGTATCACGGACCTCTATACATATGATGTGGCTACGGTAAACGAGGGTGTTGAAGACCCCATCCTGTCATGCCACGATGAACCCCTCTGTCTCCGATAATGGTCTTGAAATAGACCGAATGCATGGACTTATCCATGTGAAGCTGCAGGAGGTTTCTCACTTCTGCAGCTTTGATGCGGGCCCTTCTCCGAGCAGGCTTTAGCTCAGTTACTGAGTCCTGAGAATCACGCCCGGAGTCGAAGATCAGAGACAATTCATCGGCTGATCGACGTGCTGCCCTAAAGAGAAAAGCTCCTACTCCTGCCTTTTCATGGGTTTTAACCATTTGCAAGGAAGGACCCATACTGCTGATGACTTTGCAGGCGCCATCAAGAACAATTCTGTTATGGATATACTCCAAGCTGAAGAGTCCACGGCCATTATATTCTCTAGTTATGTGTATAACCGTGGAAGAGACAAATTTGGATGCAAACTTCTATGGAGATTCATCATCTTGCGAGTACTCATGTCAAGTTTTCGCAGCTCGACTTGAGCCCACTTTATCACTCCAACGGAGTAAAGTAGAATCGGAACAGCAAGCATGTTGATGCGGAGAGCGTCTTTCACCCGTTGTGCTTGGATGTGCGTTTCCTCTACACTCAGGTAGGTGTACGTCTCTCCGGCATCAAAGTGATGTAGGATGCTCCCGTCCACGAGCTGCGCGTCCTTGTTCTCGCATCGTCCTCTCGTGAGATAAACCAGTGCACGTCTGTCCATTCCGAATTCTATTCCAATTGCCTGTGTCTACTCCTGCACCACCTTGGGGGATTGGTTTATCTCCCTCTCACCAGAGGCATAAGGTTTGAGATCATCCACATAGAATAAGTGGGTGACCTTATGCCTCCGGTAACTGAGTGGCCCGCAGTTATATCCTCTGATTTTCCTGAGCTCAACGAATATTAGCAGCAGTGAGAGAGGCTAAGGGAGTCTCCTTGAAATACTCCCCTCGTTATGATGACTGGCTCTGGCTGGACCCTCGCATTACCTGCTGTTATGGTAAAAGCGGGCCTTCCAACCAGCATCAGTTGTTTTATGCATCTCACTATAGAAGCGGGCACCGAAAGACGCTTGAGCAAGTACACGGGTAACTCATGTGACGTTGTATCAAATGCCTTTCGGTAGTCGATCCAGGCTACAGAGATTCCGCTTGTACTGCACGGAGTCCTGTGTGATAGATCTATATATCAACAGGTTCTCCTTGCAGCCAGCGACACCTCTCTTCGACCCACGCTCACGCTCATTATTCTTATTCTTATTATTATTTCTTATCTCTCTTTCAAGGTTATCAAGATCCTCCTGCTTGGGATGAACCTTATATTTCGGCGATGGCTTCGAATTGTAACATGCAAAAATACAATGCCAAAAGGGCTGGTGAAGCAAGCATGGAACTTTATTTGGGTCATTTTATCGAAAACCATAAGCCCTTTGAACAAGACTGTGTAGTAGTTGATGTAAAGGAACGGAATTTTGATGTTATCGTATTGAAAACTGGAAGCATAGTAAGAATATATCCAAATGTAAGTACAGTTCCATACAATATATAGGGTTTCCGGTCATGTCGTAAATGATTTGGCTGATACAGTTAACCAAAATAATGTTAATGGGTGTTAATGTTATATAAAAAAGTGTCTCTCGCACTTCGTTACGAAGTTTTTGACCGTGAAGGGTTCAATAAAAAAAATATATAAACTAAATTAACTCATACTGATGCTCGTTTCGATATATGGCTGTTCAGTTATTATGTTTAATTCAGGATGTGATGATTTTTTTCCGTTTATTGAAGGCATTTTAGACAGGTGACATATTTGACATTTTGCATTCACCGTTTGATTCCTTCATCTTTCTCCTATAAGAATGGTATAATTTATTTCAATCGGTATCTTGTACCGTTCTAGAGAAAATTTCATGTTAAAAACATAAATTCAACCATTTCAAATGTGATAAAAACTCTATTTATTTAATAACTTCATGGTAGTTTGTAGGACTGATAAGCCAAAATAATGTTAGTACTTCATATAAAAAAAATTTCTATCGCACCTCGTTACCGAGTTATTGACCTTAAAAGTTTATATAGACTTGCGTCAATAACAGCGTGGCAGTCTGATACAATACTGTTATTTTTTTTCACTTTCACTAGTGGGCTGTTTGTCAATTCTCTTGCACATAATTCACTAGCGAAAACTTCCGCCTGAAAGATTATAGTATAACTAAAATCGACTGAGATTTCAGTATTTGATTTCCTGCTGAACACACCGGCTCCAACTCCACCCCTCCATCCAGGGTTTCTCAACCATCTTTGTACGTTAGGTGTTCGGTCTCTGGTAATTGGATTGATCCCTTTTCCCACCTGTATATCTTTGGGATGAGGAATTTGAATGTCTGAGTAGCCAACCTAACAGGAAGCATTCCTAGAGCTTGGTGACTCTTTATTTTACTCAATATCCCGGAGTTATTCCCATCAACTTGATTCTTTCAATAACAAAAATCTGCAGAATCGATCTGGGCCATCCTCTCCAGGACGATGTGGAGGGGATCATGGTTCCATTGATTTTCTATCGCTACCGTTAGTATAGAGGAATCGATCTCGTGATGGCCAGGCATGCTAGCCTGAGAAGGCCAGCCCTATCAAACAATTGCTTGTTTGTAACCGTAAGTTTGAGATTAATCTCTGGAGTGATCACCTTTTGGGCATTCTTCCAGTCCTCCCTTTTGGGTCGTGCTCTCGAACCCATTGGAAACGGGATTTGTAGGGCCTACGGAAAAAGAATGCCAGGAATGTGTCTAGAAAAATGCCTAACGTTTGCCTACCAGAGCCTGTAAGAGAGCGCCCTGTCCTTTCTATCGAACCGATTTAATTAAGTCGGATCTCTTGTCACAACCTTATAAATTCTCAGGCCGGCAGGTATATATTCGTTATACTCTGGAAGAATTTCCCCCAAGACTTTTTGAGCGTTCCTCATTCACCTTATTTCTTCAGCACGATCGAAAATGCGTCGAACGTCTTGTATTTTTTTGTCGAAGCCCCAACTCCACCAAGATGTAATAGGCAGTTTCTCAGGCGTTTGTTATTTGCTCATTCATTACTTTGATTTCGACACTATTCTTATTTCTTCACCCAGCCAACCATAAGATGTATAAATGATGTATACGCGACATCACTTTGTGACATGCGATATCGCATTTGAAGTCACAAACATGTTACCGATAAGACGTGGCGATGTGAAAATGTCCGACTCATGGAACTGTGACGTCGTTCAGACATGAAATGCGACATCTCATGAAAAATCACTACCAGGTCACGTCGACATCGATTAGTGGTATGTACTAAAGTCACTGGAATATATATTCCAGTACAATTGCCAAACAGTTGAATACAAGTTCGGACACAGCTGAACTTCTGTCATTTTCTAGTTCCTATATCACATTGATTTGAGTGAATAAAATAATAAGACATATATTCTGCTCTTTGTCTTTTCATATCTGACGATTTTAGAGGTTAGATTTTTTGTCAAATCAATCATAGCCGTAGATGCAAAATAGAAGTAGGGTATAAACACCCACTTCAATTTAAAGCGATACACTTCTCGCAGAACATCAGTTATAAAAATGGAAAGAAACAAAATAGACACATATGGCTATATTTATGGCTAGTTCCTCAGTTTTGTTCTCAAATTTTCAATTTCATCACGTATAGTTTTGCAATAAATTCCTTTTTCTCCATGATACTTTTGTTTTGCATTTTGTGTAATGATATTAATGGTATCGAAAACCGATCAGATCTTGTATTTGAAAATGGGCCTAAAATATAATCTCATTATAATCTGCTGTTTTCCATTCAGGCCGTTTCATATACATTCCTTCCATTAGAGAATGGTTAATATTTTCTTTGAAAAATCAAATAATTGAAATCCATTCTCTTCAGAATTCTCACAATTCGTCACAGAGCAGGACATTTTCATTCACGCTTTTTTCTTAATAGTTCATGAAATGATATTTCAATTCTGACGTTCATGAAATTTATTGACAAAATCAAACAATTCTTAATGAAATAGCGCGGGACGACTATGGTGCTCTTCTCACATTGCAAGGTGTGTAACTTAATAAATCTAAACATTCGAAAACACTAACAGTTGTCATTTCTGTGTCCGAACTCGTATCTAACAATACCATCCAGTGACTCTATTCCGAACCTGTGATATTCGTGGGATAGATACTTATAATTATTTAACTTCACGTAGAAAATCTTTATTTTCCGAAAATATAAACATATGATACAAATCTTATTATGACAATCACCTTATTAGTAATCTCGAAGTAGAACATGACACATAGCAATACAAATATGCATCATACATAATGATACATATCAAATACACTATACATTATCTTTTATCCACCTTGCTTGAGATTGAGATATTCATATCTATCAAAGGTGTCAGGTGATATAACCATTGACTATAATTGAGATGAAATAATTACAATATTGTGATTGTACTCACCATCGTTCCTGAATAATTGTACATCTAATTTTAAGCTGATATGTGCTACAAAGTTTCTCGAATTTTTCATCAGAAAATTTTGAGGAAAATACAGTCTGTGCGGCTGCGGAGTCGGACAGTCGGACGACGAAATCGAAGAATCGAATCAACAAACAAGTGCCTGAAACACATTACATGGCTATAGCTTTAAACATGGCGTCTGGCGTGTGTGTTCGTTCTGCGCATGTCTGCGTCACACTCAGGTCACAAATACGTTTTATTTGGATAACAATGTAAATTATTCAGTTAACGTCGATTAGATGTAGTTAGATGAATGTCCCTGCCACATTACATATTTTTCTGGTTGTGATGTAACCTTGTGACTTTGATATCGTATCTTCGTCGATTAGATGTGTCAACGAGATATTGTATTTATGTAAGATTGTTACATCACACTGATGTTAATGTGGCACGATGGTTGGCTGGGCAGGTGCTCTCTTGCCAGAGACCAGTACCCAATTCAGTCTATGAACTTGCACTAGTCGTGCAATTGTGGAAATCTGCCAGCCTCCTAAACTGAGTACTAATTGTTATATCCAAAACTTCTTCGTTTTATTTGTTCGCGAAGATTGGCTTCGAACACGCGTTATTCGCCGCTAACCCTTTTTTATTGTCAAGCACCTCACTGATGGTTCTATTTAAGACTGGAATTTATCTCTTACAATCTCGCACAATACCATACAATTCACTTAGCTCAATTGTATCGATCTGTCTGACTCATTAGGCGGAAGAGAGCGATTCTCAGTGTGGAATATGTCTTGACACTCATCGCGCATGTGTGCTTACAGAAATGATTGTACACCCAAATTTCACAATCCTCCCTACTAAGATTAGTTTCTATCTGGTGATGTAAGTTCCATCTACATAATGTATTAACCTGTAGCATTATATTTAACTCACAACATACATTTATTCTGCCTTACACAATACATTTATGGAATGTATCTAATAAAGTTATTCAATATTATTCGTCTCATTACATTTTATATGGAAACAATGGCCTGTTTACTAACATTATTATATGTTTATCATTTTTGAAGTACATAGATGTATATTTCACTACATCAATCCAAATAATAATTTATGTAATACGTTCCATTTTGGTCTACGACCAAATTTGTTCAATAATTTGATATAAAATATATCAAAACATTTATCCTACATATTCTACTCCCTGAACCTACGTGGTTTCTTTATAATGCGTTTAGGTAGCTGATCCCTGTTTACATTAGTTTCAGCTTCAGCATTGTGCTCGAGATGTTCCTCAGGTGTTTGTTCTGTGGTGTGTTGGTCTTGCACATCTTCAGGGATCCTGTGGCTTGGTTGTGTTTGGTTTGTGAGATTTCCATTCTCAATTTCTCCTCCAATATCTATTATTCTGCCGAGTCTTCTATTTGTTGGTGCTTCTATACTGTTCTTAGGCAATATCTCTTTGGTATACCTTGGTATCTCTCCTTTTTCTATGATTAGGTCTATGTATCTCCTCCAAATTAATCCACTTGGTAATTCACATTTATTCATATATCACATTCCCCTCCCTTCCTTCCTATGGTTTCAGCTTCTTTCCAGATCTTTTTATTGGGGTTTTTGTAGTCTCTCGCCATGACTCTCTGTTTTAGTACGAATTTAGATGTTCCTGACTGCTGTCCTTTGGTGGTATCTTCGCTTTTTCCGTTTTGTAACAAATCAAGCCGTTTTCTTGGTTTTCTATTGAACATCATGTCTGCTAGTGATTTGCCTGTGGTTGCATGTGGTGCGTTTCTATAACGCATTAGGAATCTGGCTATTTATTCTAATATTGGTGTGTTTACGTTGTTGCTATCCAGCAATGCAGTATTTACTCCATTCCATGTATAAATAGTATTTGATGCAATCATTCGTTATTATCATCGCGAATATATTTTTTTCAATAGTGAAACTCGGCACCCTCTAAAAAGCCAGATTCGATGACGTCATGAAACGAATCCGAAATCAGCGTT